TTGTTTTTGTTTTCCATTCAGTGGTGGCTTAGTAGCTATCACCACCACTTAGACTCTGCACAGGAACTAATGTGCTATTCTGTGGTTAGTTCCCAAGTTGGGGAAATTTCCTGTGAGGACCAGACCTTGAGCTCGATTCTTGAACTAAATTGCTACTTTGCTGCTGACTCTCTGGGAAAGGCTTTTTGTGTGGATTGTAAATTAATTCTGTGTCTGGGCATGTGAAAATTCCAGCCAGGGACTGAGTCTTTCCTGCAGATAGTGCCTTCTGCAGTTCTATTGCCCTGACTAATTTCCACTGAGACCACCTGCCATTGCTGTAGCCAGTGTTCCCCCAGTGGACCAACCTTTGTTCTGTACCCCAACCACTTCCTGTGGGGCAGGATGGGTACTTGCCACTCATCATAACTCATCTGCCTTTCATCAGCTCTTTTCTCCAGCTGGCTGTGGTCATTTGCTCTATTTGGCCCCAGGGGAATCCTGCCAGTGGTGTTTATGGCCTTTGGGCTGGTATGGTGTGCCTCAAAGCCCTCCTTTCCCCTGCAGACTCCAAGCAGATTTATGTGAATGGTGCCACTGTGGCTTTTTACAGTTTCAATTTGTGTGCGGTAGCCATTCCCCATCCCCTACCAGGGTGGTTCAGATGGGACCAGGGTGGCTCAGAAGGAGCTAGTGCTCAGAACAATAGGCATCGTCCCTATACCCCCTCACTGTGGTCTTTCGCAGCTTCAGGAACTCCACAGATCTCTCCTCTTCTTCCCCTGGCTCCAAGGCTCCAATGGTCCTAGGTTTGCAGTCTTTGCTTTTTGTGGGGGTATGGAGGGCTGGCTGATATGGGGATCCAAACCTTTGCCTTGCTGTTATAACACCACGCTAAGCAACTGGGCTAACCGGCCAGCTCACTTTGCTTTTTAATAATTGTAAATTGGTTACTTGTGGAGAGGAGCAAATAAGTATAGTTAAGTAAATAAGTATAGTTTTTGTTTTTGTTTTGTTTTTGTTTTCCTGACTGGTAATGGGATCGCAACCCTTGGCATGGTGTGGTCTGCACCATGCTCAGATCCCCTTGGCACGGTGTGGTCTGCACCATGCTCAGCCAGTGAACGCACCGGCCATCCCTATATAGGATCTGAACCCGCGGCCTTGGCGCTATCAGTGCCGCACTCTCCCGAGTGAGCCACGGGGCCGGCCCTAAATAAGTATAGTTTTAAAGTAAGATGGCAGTGAGGTTAGATGATCAGGATTGAATTCTGACAGGTCAGGTGTCAAGGAATTTTAAGTACAGTGATACCATTAATTTTCTTACAGTGTCAATATCCTTGCATATAATTTCTTCTTCTACAAGGAGAAGCCTTTTCTATTCCTCCCAAAGGCACATTTAGTGGCTGTCTCCTGTGTACTCCCTTAGCACATTGTACACACCTCCTATCAAGTCTTACTGTAGTGTAGTTATTTATTTACAGGTCTGTCTCTCTCACTAGAAAGAATTCCTTTAGGGATGAGATGATATCTTTTTCATGTTTGGATCCCTAGTATATATCACAGTATATATATATATATATATCAAATATAGTGCCTTCATTCAATAAGCAATTTTTACAGTCAAGGAATCTAGAAGTGAATATTGAATGAGAAAATTACCTTAGATATCCTTTAAAAAGCATATCTCATATTGCATTTAAATATGGTTTATTAATTGATTTATATACAGCTTCTCAGTTATGCATTCGCTTGTTCACATCATTAACTTGGATAATTTATAGTCATTATAATTAAATCACATTGGGGTTCAAATTTATTAAGAAATGTTGAGGGCCAGCCCGGTGGTGCACTCGGTAGAGGGCGGCGCTCCCGCCGAGGGTTCGGATCCCATATAGAGACCGGTCCACTCACTGGTTGAGCGCAGTGCGGGCGCGACACCGAGGGTTGCGATCCCGTTGCCGGTTGCGGTACGGGCGTGACACTGAGGGTTGCGATCCCGTTACCGGTCACGAAAAAAGACAAAAAAAAAAAGGAAGAAATGTTGAGACATTTGAAAATGCAAGAAGAGTATTATGATAAATACTCATGTGCCCACCATCCAGTTTGAGGAATAAAACATTACCAGTACAGCTAAAGCCTTTTAGGTACTTTCTAATGTCTTCCCACTTTCCCACACTGCCAGAGGGTGGTGTTGATCATTCTGGTGAATTTTCTTACACTTTTAATACCTATGTTTATAATTCTGAAAATATGTAGCATTATATGGCATGTTTTGAAACTATTATATGGATAGTATCATACTGCATGTATTCATTTGTACCTTCTTTCTTTCAACATTATATTTGTTAGATTCATCCATGTTGATAAGTGTATTTCTACTTCGCTTATTTTCATGGCTCTATTCTACTGAATGAACTATTCAATCATTTAATTATTCTGCTGTTGATGGACATTTCATTTCCAGTGGTTTTAATAGTACAAATTAAGCTAAGAAGATGCTTTTAAAAGTACTTGCTAAGCCAAATAATGTTATAAATTTTGGAATTTAAACTACTTAGGAAAGAAAATCTACTACTATTTTTAGATTCTTTACATTTTGCCCTAATGTTTTGGATCTAACAGTAAATGTGCTAATTAAATAAGCAATTGTTTGAATTACCTTCGTTATTTTTTCATTACTGTTCTTGTTTCTAAAGAAAATTTGAAGCAACTTAAAGCACGTAAACCAAAATAAAAACAAGTACCATGTTATTTCACAAAACCTAGACTAAGAGATTGCATCATCTATGTCTAACAATATATAGACCTACCCCAGATTAGCATCCCTATCAGCAGTATTACTACACATATTTGAAAATAATATTACCTTTTAAATATTGAAAATTTTAAATTTAATTTTGAACTCAGTTAAAGAAGATAAATTGTCAGATTACATAACAAACTGACATTCACCTTAAATTTTGAAAATTCTCCATTTGTATAACAATTGAACAAGAAATCTCTAGGCTTCAAATGTTTAAGTTTTTATAGCAAGATGTATAGACAACAGTGAATTGCAGAATAACAAGATATTTAGCCAACTATAAACAAAATTAGGTGCCAATAATAAGTTCTGACATTTTAAAATTTGTGACAAAATGATTGTAAAAGGGAGCTCAACTGTCTTAGTTTGTATCAATGAGGGAGGTCCCCTGAAATGCAACTACTCAATCCCTTTATCAGTATTTGGACAAATTTCGAAAATATCTAGCCCTCTGAAGGCTTTACCCTATTTATAAATTGGAGTTATTGGCCTCTATCCAGATTCACATGTTAGAGATTAACCTAAAAGCTGAGTCCTGATTCAAACGGATTTAGGTAGACTAACTGCTGAGCCTTTCCAATTCACATTGCTGTAATCTATTAGGTTTCATGGAATGAGATGCATGAGGATGCTATAATAAAACCTTTGAAAAGGGTCCCTAGAGTCAAGGTGTATGCTTAGGGCATCGTATTTCTCAGCGCATTGAAGTGCTTACGTAAATTTAAAAAATACATGCCAATCTCTTGTCAGACTTAGCACTGGTGTACCTGAATAAGACTGTCCCAATCAGGAAATTTAGTGGCTTGTGGCCAGATGAGGTATTGTTTTTCATTTAAGTTCTTTGTTTTCATGAAAAGGCTCTTTGATTCTCAGAATGTATTTGTTTCAAGGTAATTTAGTTTGAATTCACTCATGCTCAGGAGGCTCCTTAGAAGCTTTACTTAAACTTTTACAGTGTATGTTTTTTTTATAGGCAACCTACACTCGCTGAATTTCAAAGAGTTTCATATAACATCAATTTTACTAATCAGAGCTTGGTTTCTAAAACTTACATGGTTCTATTGTATGGAACATATAATTAATAGCAATTATATTTTCAAAACAGAAACTGTACCTTTTAGTAATAAATCTTTCTTAATACTCTGAAGAGACAAATGCATGGCTGTCTACTTTGGGTAAGGGGATTCAGCTTCAAAGGAATTTGCCTGTTTGTAAGCTTTCTTGAAGTTTAGATATGCTGCCATCAGGTGGTAGTAATATGTCATATCCATGTGGCTCCACAGATGGTACTCTGCTAAGGGTGACCAGTTTACCCCACAAAGATTTATAATCATGTATGTGAGAATTACATATGGAAATTAAGCTAACATGGTGTATCTATTCTTTTATCAGAGATAAGGATACTTTGGAATTTTTAAAACAGATACATATTATAAGATTTAGTTGGACATTTTTTCTCTGTTCTTAGTTTTTCTTTTTTTTTTTTTGGTAAATGAAACATTTCGTCTTATGCCTTATAAACATTTAGAAAATATAGAAGAGTAAAATTAAAAACATCTAATTTCATCACCCAAATATAATTGCTGTTTAACCCTTTGCTTCATTTCCTTCCAGTCTTTTTTTTTTTTTTTTTAATGTGTAATTTTTAGTGTGTTTTTGTTTTTTGGAGTTGAGTTGAATGGCAAGAAAAGGTACTTAGCTGCAGTAACATTATATATACAGCTTGTGTCCTTTACAACCTTTAAAATTACAAGCTCTTTGTAACTGCTTCATGACTTCTTAACATTCCATTGATTGAAGTTTTTCACAATTTATAGTCATTGACCTATTAATAGATATGTACATTTCTGGTTTTCATAGTCATCAGGAGTATTTTATCTTTGCCTTCCATCCACTGCCTATCAAGAGGCCATAATTACATCTATGCTTGGTTTTTGTTTTAACACAAAAGAATTTCTAATTCATCTCTGAGTAGCTAGATATTTTGTTTATCCTCCATTGCATTTTTTACTGCTGGAAAACTCGAACTCTCAGTGTTGAACTACAAATGGAAATGTATATTCTCTTTGTTAATATTTCATATCATATTAATGTTTTATAATTTTATAAATTGTAAACAACCAGGTACCACATTTAAACATTTCAGGGTCTGTGATATGAGATGGAGCTATTACCTACTTTCTACCAAAATAATTTTTTCTTTTCTTTTTTATAGCATAGAACGTTGCATTAGAGAAATACAGTCCGAAGTTAACAAACAGTGTCCAGATGTTCAGCTGCAAACAACAACTGACTGCTTTGAATGGCTAGCTAACTATAATTATAATACCTCTAAATCACCTTCCATTCCCCGTGGAGATTTGATAAAATTCCTCAAAACACTGGTAAAGAAAAAAAGAATCTTTGTTTTATAGTGGAGTAGGGTAAACAGGGAATACAATCTATTCAATTTCTATATGTAAATATTTATTTTAGTGACCATATTAGCCTACTGTATCTAGGAGTTTGTAGTTTTGTTTTGTTCCTGTATCCCCAGTGAGCTATTTGTTTTTAGTTTTTACTATGATTTTTGTCAATAAAATGAAATTTCACATAAATGGAGATTAAATTTATAATTCTTGGGTGATTTGTGGTGTTATATGTACCATATGAATTCCACAAAATATATTGCTGTGTATCACAATTGTCTGCCAGAGAAGTTCATATTCATTATATTTTGTGTCCCCTCATTTTCTCTATGCTCATTATTAAGCATAATAAGATCCCCATTGACTGTATCTATTAAGTGGCCTTGGCTATCATTCCCTGCATTCTCAACGTGCAGTCATACCCACTTCTTTTCAATCAAGGCAGTAATTTATGCAAGACCACTGTTAACTGATGAAGAATTATTACACTGGTCATTCTTTGATACAGATCAGCTTCTATGTTAGAGAAATTTTTGTAACCTTCAACAAGAATGGTTATTTTATTACACCTATGTCTACAAGGGTGGCTAGCTTGCAAACAACAGATACCCAGTGAAACAACACAATTGTTAGAAAGCAATATTTCTGTAGCTACGGTTTTAATTTAATTTAGGGAAAAAAGGCACTGTTTTTCTGTAAACATCAAACTTTGACTAAGGCAGATGTGGAAAATATCTTGAGGTTGTAGATGGCTTAGGATGACAGAACCAGATGAAAATAGTTTTTGGCTGTTGTTGTTATTACAGATGTCTCTTTAATGTTTACAAAGTAAAAAAAGGAAGGGAAAGGAAGACTATGTGCCCTGAAGCCTATTCTTTTAAGAAAATCCTCTCACCCATTATCTCCTGAAGGTGGAGCCTTGAAGAATAAATATGGATATAGTTATTCCTTTAATTTCTATTAAGTACCATGTGTATAGAATTTCATTAATATTGATGTAATAATGCTTTCTCATTTAATTAAAAGCAAAAGCTTTTAATTATCTTTTAATCTGTCACACATAAGTCATTCTCTATTCACTGCAGGGCAAAGGCCTCCTTAGTTTTGCTCAAATTCATTAGATTGATAGGCTTGTTCCAAGCCTAGGTTTTTTTTACTTAATTGATCATGTTATTTTGAGGAAAGAACCACATTATTAAAACAGACCCAGATTAAAATGACCTTATTAGCAAGTTTCTGCATGCTAAAAGTGTCAATCTCGATGGCATTTTTCATCTATTTTTTCCATAGAAAATTTTTTATTAATTATCTAGCTATTTAAATAAGAAACAGAGATTCTCATTTATGGCAATTATACTGAAGGTTTGTTTTTGTTTTTGTTTTTTTAATTTAAGCAATCATACTAAACACATGTTTTAAACTAAAGTCTATTATTCTTTGATCAAATATTTATAGTTAGTGATTGACTTAAAGAAATCCAAGGCTGGGGCACAAATATGACTTATTTGCCACATAGAATTTACCGTAACACTGACATGTCCTGGACTCTATCTAAGGACATTTCTTTTCCAGAAGCATCAAAAGAACTAAATAGCATGAGAGAGGAGAGAAAGAAACTACAGAAAGGTCACATGCACTCTGGCTCTCTAGAATGTAGTAGAAAAAACCCATGTGAAGAGAATGAAGCCAGGGATCCATTCCTGGTTCTGTGCCTTATTGTATGTGACGTTTGAAGTGTCACTTAAGCATGTTTCACTTTAGTGTCTTTTTAAAATATCTATGCCACAGAAATTTCATTATGAACAAACCAGAGAATGTATGGAAAAATGCTTTGTATATAATAAAACATTACATAGATTTGGGGTATAATTATTTATTACAGATAGAACATTAAATTAGACATTGCAATACTTAGAATGACTGAGAGCAAATTCTTGGAATTTGTCTAGTAGTAGTTCATAATTCTGAATCACGTAATACCTGTAGTATCTTTGTCAATAAGAAATTTTAAAGCCAGCCTGATTTATCCCTCTTGGATCTTGCTTCCGTTTCTCTTGTAATCAGCTTGTTTCTACTTAGAAGATATAAACTAATTTCACTATTAGCTGAAATATACATAATTAGGAAAATCAACATGTAAGGAGAATGTTTGCATGTAATTCAGAGTCCAAGAAGAAAGTAATATTTTTTGTTCCTTTACTCTTCATAATTATACTCACCATTGTTTTCTGTCAGCTAGCAAAGAAAGTATAAAGGAACAATTTCATATAATCTCTTAGGGAATGATTCTGAGAGTAACTTTTTTCTATTTTGTGTTAGTTATATCTTTGGAGAGAATTGAAATATTCTCAGATTAATTTTCGATGCAAAAATCTTTCTTAACGTGGATCTCAAAAAGAAATTTAAATGAAAGTTGAAATCTTTCAATGTGTTAAATTTTATTTCTCAGGATGGTAGTTATTAGTAACCCCTAGGCACATAATATATTTAAAGATCCCCACTCTATTTGAGAATGATTTCAAAGCATTGTATGTTCATTTGGAGTTTTATAGTAATAAGTGTACTCATTCAGGCCTGAAAATTATCTACCAGGAGTTAATTAGGGGCATGATCTTGAATTTATTTTGTCTTAGGAATACATTTCAATTAATGTTTTACTGTAGTTTTTTTTTTAGAATTTTTAAGCTTCAGCTTTCATACAGCTCAAGTTACATTGGGGTGGCTAACAATAAAAGCTAAAAACAATATATCTAGAAATATAACTGAAAAGATAGTTAATCAGCTGAGCTTTGTAAAATTTAACAGTTCATAAAAGCTAACATTCTAAAATGACTGCATTCATTAAATTTCAAGTGCAAAAAAACCAAAAAACCTGAAGAGCATGAGAGTATTGGTTCAAAATTGAAATAAATTATTACGAAATTGTATATGACTGTAGAAATAATTTTTTCCTGTTACACTTATGTTATCATTTACTTTCATTAGCAAAATTTGTTGAAGAATGAACAAAATCAAGAAGAAATGATATTGGATTTACTTTGGGACCTCTCCTGCCAGAGCTGCATTTCATTCCCATCGACTCTAAGTGCAACATCTTTCCATTTCCTCTCTAGGACTTCTCTTCATTCTGTTGAAGATCATTCCTCTATGGATATAAAGTCTATATGGGATGATATAAGACTGTATCTTCGGCGCTTCTTAGTGAACAAATTACAAAGCTATAATGAAATAAGCAATTCACAGCAAAAAATTTTATTGAAAAATCAATGCATACAACAACTCTTGTTTCTTTATCCAGAATCAGAAGTGATAATCAAGTACCAGAACATACAGAATAAACTGTTGGCTAAACTTCTGCAAAACTGCTTTCCTTCTTACAGCAGAGATTCAAATTTAGACATAATAGTCCATGGATGCCAAAGTACAATGTTTAAGTTATACTCAATGATAAAAGAGGATTTTGACGCACTATGTGAAATTTTAGCCCCATCCTCAACAGTGAAGTTCATTAAAGAAACTTACCTGGATACTGTTACAGAAGAATCGGCAAAATTTCTTGAAAACTTTTGTGAGCTGCATTTCAAAGAAAATGCTGTCCCTGTGGTTAAAACAAGCAAGAGCTCCAGCAAGCATAGAGGAGCAGTGCATGCTTTGGGTTAGTGACATTTAAAATTTATGTTTGGTTTAACTTAAGCCTTTTGATATCTTTAATTTCCTAAGATGTTTCTATTTGGTTAAATCTCATTGCAAACTTGAAAATAAATCAGCAAATAAATGTAATGAAATTGTACAGTACACATTTCTCTTATGCATTTCTTTTTATATAAATATAGTGATAGAAGTGTTTTCTTTCCTCTTAAATTATTAAAGATATTGGACAGGTAAGCCAAAAATATTGTAAATAAGAGTTTCATTTCTCTTAATTGCATATAATTGATAGTAAAGTATTGGGTTAAACTGTATATATCTGCGCACATATACACACACACACATATTCAGTTATATTGTTATATACATAACAGAAAAGTATAATTTTTAATCCATTGTGTCTCCCAAAACCAAAGCATTATTAGATAAAAAGAAGAATTATTGAAAATAGGTTAACGAAAATTGGAAGTTTGAAAATTGTAATATTTTAGTCAGCCAATTTTAATAAAGAGCAACTATGTAATATTTTTAATTTTATATAATAAAATTTTATATTGTAATTGATTAGGAAGGTATAGCTTTTTAACTATAGCTATTTTCTTAATTTTCTCTAATATTTTTTATAAGAATGTGTACAAATAAAAGATAATTTGAAAAATCCTAATTTTATTTTTTAAAGAAGGGAAAAAGGAAAGAAATTATTGTGATATAACTTTTTCTTGTCATAGTTTTAATTTCCCACCAGTGGAGAAAAGTCAAGGAAAAAGTATGATTATTTTAAAAATTATCATTAGTCATGCTCTTATATAAAACTCTGACGTATATTTCTAAATAAGTTCATAAACTATATTGTTTCAGTATTTGAAAATTATCATTTGGTGAATTATTATGGAACTTTGAATTTATATACATTTTTAAAAATTTCCATAGCTCACTATATTTTTACTTGTTATTCTCACTATATTTTTACTTAAAATGCCAGACTACCAAATCAATGACATAAATGAATTTTCAAATAATTTAGTATTTTCTCTTAAAATGTATATTTTCCTTCAGAAGCTATATCACATCGCAGAGCAGAGATGTATCAGCCAAGTTTTGGTTATGGCGAAATACAGTCAGTTAATTTAGGAACATAACAATTTTGCTCAAAGCAAATAGATTTTCATTTTAAATCTTAAATTAATTCTTAAATGCATTTCATGAGTGCACTTATTTTTTTAAATTTTTATATTCTTTAAAAAAATTCCTACTTGTGAAGTGTTTTCAATATGAAAGTTTTATATGCACTAAATATAGTTTATAACAGAAGAAAAGATCCATATGGTTGAAAATATGTGTAAGTTGCTATGGAGTCTTTAGGACTGATATTGAGGTATTTTCCTGTTCATGAGAGAAAACTATGTATGTCCGTTTTAACATGAGAATTTGAAACATTTTCCACAAGTCTAGGTACACTGATCTTTTTCAAGCTCCTTTATCTGAACTTTGGTATAAATCCCTTGTTAAATGAGCATTTCCCATATGCCAGGCACTGTGCTAAGTACAACCCATTATTTATTATCCCAATTTCATGAACAAAAAAAGAAGCTTGGAAAGATTAACTTGCCCTGGATCATGTTGCATGGAGTCAGGATTCATATTCAGAATTAGGATTTATAAGTAGTCTTTATTCTCCAAAACCCATGTTCTCAATCACCATGCCATTGGACCTTGTCTCGAAGTGTAGAATTCAATGCTTCGTCACCTGAAAAATAAATTTCAAACAGCATGTTCAAGTGGGCTACCTGAGAATAAATTCAGTTTAGCTTTACTGAGCACCTACCATAAATAAATAAATAAATGAGTGAATAAATGAATGAATGCAAGGCATTTAGTAGGTACCATGTTTACGGTTCTGAGCCAGACACAGTAGGAGAAAGAAAACTAAATGAGTCACTGCTGCTACTGCTATATGAGAACCACTAAACTAACTCCACATGTCAACCGTATATTTCCCTAATATTTGACCCAATAACCAAAAAGTACAGCTTTGAGATGAGCAACAATAATGCATATAATGATATAACAGTAATGTAACAAAACAACCATATAACAATAATTTATATTCCTATTTGAATAAAATCTAGATTGTCTTGAATGGGTTGTATATTATCTTTAATATATGTCTACATCTTTATGGTCACCTAATCTTTATTTTTGCCTGAAACTATTGAAAGGATATCTCTTAAGTAACATCAGCTAACATTTATTGGTTCAGACATTGGTGTACATTATCTCATTTAATCCTTTTAACCACACAACATGGTAGGTACCATTATTTATTATCTCCATTATACAGTGAGGAAAATGAGACATAGAGATGTTAAGTAATTTGTTCAAGGTCACAGAGTGAAGCCAGGATTCAAACTCATGTCTTTCTGACTCCAGAGCCCTTATTGTATCACTATGCTTTCCCGACTAAAAAACAGAAGTAACACATCCCATTTAAAAACACTTCTGTGCTTCCTCAACTTTAGTGTGGTCATTGTTTTACTCTTCTCCAAACTATCCCACACTCTTCTCATTTGAAGACTACGTCAATCCCAATTTAAGAGTATTTTTGCTTATAATTCCTATTTTGTGAGACGTTACAAGACTTTACATATGTGAGTTCATTTAATCTTCTGAACAGCCCTTCACATTATTCATACTTTATATGTGGGAAAAGTGAGACTCAGAGGTAAATATTTCCCAAGGCCACACAGCTAATAAGCCCAAGAAAAGGGATTCTTCTGTTTGCAATTATTTGGAATATTATCTTGATAATGCTACTAAAGTCTAGGTCAAAAACTGTGCAAGACACTGTGATAATTAGCATTAAAAAATCATTTACCAAACACTTTCACATTTCCTTTTTTGATTTTTCTCTGTTTTATTCCATTCAGTGTTATATCTTTCCTTTTTTATTGATTATGATTCATAATTGACTTTGATTTGCTTGTGCTTATTAAGTCAGAAATTGAGTAGGGGTAATTTTTGTGCTATTTTGTTTTTATTTTATTTTACCAGCTGGCCTTTCTTGTGGTAGTGTTCACATAGGCATCCCAGAGTAAGTTCTTCCTGCAACCAATTCATATTTAAAATATGGTGACAATCTCTCTAGGCTTTTTCCTGTGATAAGGTACCCAACAGACACTCTTTTATTTATACATAAACTTATCCCTAGACTTAAATTCGACATATTGGCATGGTAACCTTACTTTTCCTTTATATTCATGTGGTTTCTAATGTTTTGTTTCTTTGAGATCACGTGCCACATGGTTTTGGATGTTTTGTTACTTGGAGAGCATGTACTGTTTTAGTATTATAATACATGTAGAAGTGTATAGCTTCTATGTTTTGTTATTTGAAGAAAGTGATGAAATAATGTAAATGTTAATGTAAATATTATAGAATATTTGTGATTTGGTGATCTTTCCTTGAAGAGAACAGTATTATTTAAGAGATACTCTTACAGAGTTTCAAGAGTGATTTAAGCACCAACACTTTCTCAATAACTCTGATTTTGTTAACCTGTATTCTTACAGTTTCTATAGTAATGTTTGAGGAAAATTATTAATTATTTCATAAATGTTTATGCTATAAGTTTGTTTTTTCACTTAGTTTATAAGGTTTTAAAGCCAAAATAAACAGCTTTCAAAAAGCTAGAAATTTGCAATTAATATTTTGATTATAACCTGATTTGTCATTATTTGGAAAGTGAGATCCATATTTACTCATGTATACGTGTCATCTACATTTCAGGAGAACCAGTGCCCTGCTTATTATATTGTAACATTTTTCTGTGTCTATGTTTGGAATGGCTAAGTGATCAAATTAATTTTACTTTAAAAATTGTATTTTCTTTGGGTTTAAGTAATTGTTGCTTTTCTCAATGTTTGAGAAAGAGAGGATCGTGAAGTAAATTTCAGTTAAATAAATCCTCTGTATTTTAATGTGAAAAGATGCAATTAGGACATTTCAACTCTAGGATAAATTTCATGGTCGTGTGTGTATCTTATCCTGAATTTTTCTTCACGTTTTTGTTATCTCAAAAGGGAAAGACTTAAGAGAACACGATACATGCTTTTGAATATTTGGAAGATTTCTAAAAATCTGCAGTGGACGAGAGGTCAAACTGAGTGGCCTCTAAGGCCCCTTCCTTTTCACAGTCCTTTTCTCTTTGTTTAAGGAAGATTAGGAATGGGGACATGGAATCCCACAGGGGATGAATAGATTCTTTAGGGTAAAGAAAGCTCTCAAACCAAAGATAGTATTCTTGATTAGAGAGACATAGATCACAATGGGCAAGTAGGCGGGTCAAAAGCCACCCTACTCTCCTATTCCTTAAGTAGCTCTGAGCGATTGAGTGATGATATCAAGAAAAGGTAAAGAAGTATATTGAGGCTAGCATGCAAAATATATAGAGAAGGAAGCATTAGTGTGAGTCCTGTTATAGAAGAGATTACACCTCCCAGGAGGATATTGCATCTCGTCACCCCATTGTTCCCTTTCTGCTCCTGAGACAGAAGTAAAGATCTACATTAGATCTGGGCTGATAATTACTCTGGCTATTTTCTAACCCCACACTAGTAGAAGGTGGAATTTCAAGTAATACAAAACAGTAAATAGAAAAAAATTAAGAGAAAGTATTTACTTTTTAGTTTTTATTTAGTTGTCACGAATTTCTTTAAAGTAATAATGTATAGTTCAGGGCTGGGTTTTTTTTTTACTGTACTACTGTTGAAAATACTAACAAATGATGTTGATCAGCTCCTCCACCCCCACCCGCTTTATCATAGTTGCTATTTTCTAATGCAATGCTGGTACATTTCTTGTTACAATTACTCTGAGAAGGTGAAAAGTGCACTTGATCTCGAGTTGAGTGTCTGTTCCACACCTTGCTTTCTGACCTTAAATAAGTTTGAGGCTTTCTAGTCAATAAAATGAAAGCATTGCATTACGTAATATCTAAAGATTCTTTCAACTCTAAACTTTTCTGACTGTTTAAGTGAAATCTTACTCTAGGTTGATTTTCTGACTCTGTAAGTTGAAATCATTCCACAACCAGAGTTTAGGCCTACAATTTGTCATTGGAAACTGCCACCACATTTATTCACTTATTCAC